AAAACTAAAACCAATAACAACACACGCAAAACATCATGCATAACATTAGTATAGCATACTAGGGAAAACAAACCCCACCAATTAACACCACCACACGTTCCATCATCAAACGAAACACCAAATTAACTCATACTTTCATGCACCATGTCATAACAAATATTTAAAATAGGAACATGCATTAACACGTCAAACCAACATAGTCTACACCTTTCATTCCATACCACACCACATTAACCCATTACATGCAACACCATACAAAACAAGACATTTTCATTTGCCAACGCACTATTTTAACTATTTTGAAATACATAAGATACAAACCCAACGCACCATAAATATGAATCCCTGCCACACCAAACAATATTACACTAACGCTAACAAATTACGTTACTTTATCCAAAAACCATACACATGTGTGATTACTTTATTTGGATTTGAACGTTGTCTAAGTCACGATTCGCATTCCACTGGTCATTAGACTGACATTAATTGATTCCCCCAATTGGCATACCTTCGGCCAATCAAACTCGTGGCTCACACAACACTTAACGCCACCACGTACAATGGCCAGCTTCAATAAACGCCACCACGCATTGGACTACGTACCACATCACCACATCATGACGACTTAACACACACCAAAAAAAAAAAAAAAACCCAGACAAACTGACCTCCATCTCAAATATGCAAGTACACAAGTCACACATTACCTCAACACCATTACTATATCATTCAATGTAAAAAAAACACAAACACCATGTAAAAACCCTTACAAATGCAGGACAATATGCTCCACCAACAAAATAGCAAAACCATCTTCCCCCACCCCCAAAAAAAATGCCAGGACACCCCCGATCACAAAATATCATTACCATCACACTTACATTTACCAAACTAACATTAACACACTAGCGGACAGAAAGCAACAAATTTCCAACCTACAACGTGCCAACAACATTGACAAACTAACATATGCAATAGGCATGCATTTCACAAAATCCTCCATATCAGCAACACTACAACAAATTCATAATAATGTGAGGTTCATAGGATATCACACACATCACACTTTTGACAAAAACCAACCAGACCAACACAAACGAAATCAGGGGTTCATGTTTACAAATGATTAATGTACCTGGAGCCATTATTGCCAAACACACTCACTTCTGCCGGAGTATGAAGGTTTTCCGATCGCCACACGAAAACACAACAGCGTCACAATCACCCAAGCCACCGGTGTCGATGTATTAACAAGGAAGGGGTTGCGTATTTGCTAGGTTTTAGGGTAAACTGCAAATTCGTATTCTAGTGTCCCAATTCACAAGGATTCCACGTTGCCAATTAAGAGTCTTGATCTGCCCTACCCAACATTACGCCATTAATATCAGCGTACTGTTAAAATTTCCATACACGTCTCTTTGATTCCGATCTGTTTAGAGGGAAAAAAAACATCAACACAGTAAGGGTTTTAGGCATATTAGCCAATTCCACATTGGGGTATTCCACATTTACCCTTATTAGAAGGTGCCAAACAGAGTGGAACACGGGTTATTTTGTCAGTAACACTAAATTGGGACTTATTAGATCATAAGATAAAAGATAGGACCAACTGGATTAGAAGATAAGGATTTGGGATTTATTAGTGCATTTCCCTTAAAATTATGGTCACTAAAGTGACACTTTATTTGAATTTCAATAATTATAATTTATTTTAAAAAAATTAAAGAGAAATTACAATACAAAAAAACTCAAGGCGTGACCTCAATAACAAATTAAATCTCGTCTTTTTAATTATTTCAATTTAAACTCAAATTGTTTTCAAATAGTATCAATTCTAATAATCCGTTTGCATTTGTTAGTTATAACCAATATAGAATGGACAATTTAAATAATTTAACAATCTTCTTTCCCCGCATTACTATTAACAACCATCTCACACCCTTATCATTGTTAATCACAACTCAACATTTTTCTTAATTCACTACCACCACTCTATCCATTTCTTTTGTCCACCATCACTTCTCTCATTTTCCAACTCACTGTCATCAGTCTCATTCATTTCTTAGTTCCACCATCAAGCACCACCGTCAAAAGTGATTAAATTATAAAGGATAATTTACAAATACATTGTCTCAGATTGACTTAAAATACGAATTGTCCCGTGTGATTTTGAAAATTACATTTCGCTCCCTGAATTTCCAAATTTCATAACAAATAATACATTTTATTAATAATGTCTCAAGTCAATTAACAGTTTTTAATGATATTTGAAATTTATTTTAATTAATAATTCAGGTAATTTTATTAGAGAAAATTAGTCTAAGATCCCTCTCCCATATTTAGTAATGGAAGAGATCCACAATTTTATTTTATAATGTCTAAGGTCCCTCAACTCCCACACCCATATATCACAGAGAAATTTGACTCTCTCGAATCAAACCTCATTTTTAAATGAGGAGGTTGTTTCGGAGAGATAGGTCATGGAGTTTGAAATCCATGACAGTGTTCCATCTGGGATTGTTGTTTCCTTCCATATCGACATGGGTTGTGAACTCCGTGTTATAGCCAGTTGGAGGGCCACCGGAGATGGAGACAACGGCGTAAACTTTCATCCTGCCGAAGAGCCTGATGTATTCTAGTTCTGTTGCAGAAAGGTTAGTGATCACAAATGGTCTCAAGTGTTTCATTTTTTAGAGAGAATGTTGATTGAATGAATGAATGAATGTGAGAGATACTGAGAGAAAGAGGCTTGGTGTTGAATTTATATAAGTTGAAGTGGCTTGGAAAATGAAGACTTGGTAAAAACGTCATAACTGGGTACCGGACTGGGTACTGGACCGCCTGAGAAGCGTGAATGGGATGTACGACAATCGACATAGGATGCACGTCAATGGGAAAATGAAGACTTGGTAAAAACGTCATACTAAGAGAAAGAGGCTTGGTCTTAAGACTTATACTGGGCCTCAATGGGATGTACGCAATCGCAGATCGAGAACGAAGAGATAGTAAATTGATGCAAGGATTGAAGACAATTCATGAAAGAAGCCGTAACGGCACGGAAAGGAGTACCCGAACTCGTACGTGTTCATCATCGACATGCTTGTGCTGAAGTCAAGGGACATCAAGGTTCACGTGGAGGGCGACAATGTGTTTGTGATCAGCGGAGAAAGGAAGAGAGGAGAAGAATAGAGCAGAATATCTCTGGAGAGAAATTTAGAAATTCCGAAGTCCAGAGAAAGAGAAATTCTCTAGCAATGCCTATGGCAATCTTGTGGATTTTATGGGAAACAAGGAATGAGCTGGTTTTGTTAAATAAGCATCTGGTGTGGTGCGAGGTGAAGAAATTAGTTAGAAGTTCTTATGTTTGCATTTTGGATAAAATCAAAGGCACTGATTTCAACATTTAAGAATGGGTACTCTGTTATGGATTTCTATGCATTCACTTTGTCGTGTCCGATTACAAGATTGATCACCTTCTACATTGTTGATGTGTGTTCATTCAAAGTGTAAATGAAGGCAAATGGTGTGTCATTTTGAGGGCTGTTGACATTGGTAACATTGTGGGGTTTTTTTTATGTTAGTCATAGATCCAAAGAAATTTGAATGTTTAAAGTCTTGAATTCAGAGAAATTCTTTGGAAGCCCAGAATTTCTCCCAGAATTTCTCTGAATAGAATTTCTCTGGAAAAAAATTTTCTGTGCTGAAACTTCTCTGGACTGGAATTTCTCTGGGCTAAAATTTATCTGGATGGGAATTTCTCTGGACTGAAATTTCTCTGGTTCAATATTGAGGGACCTTAGACATTATGAAAATATTACATGCCCTTTATACTATAAAATTTTAATATTAGGGACCCTAAAAAAAAATGGGACATAAAGGGCAGAACGTTGAGTTCACATGTTTCATTGAGTTTTCACAGGTTTGATCGTGTCTACGATGAAAATATTACATTGAAGAGAGGAAGAGAATTTTTCTGGATTAAATTTTCTCTGGGTGAATTTTCTCTGGATTGAATTTTCTCTGGTTAAATTTTCTCTGAATCGAATTTTCTCTGGACTGAAATTTATCTGGATTGATGTTGAGGGACCTTAGACATCATGAAAATAGTTGATGTCCTTTATACTATAAAATCATAATATCAGGGACCTTAAAAAAAATACCCAAAAAAAATCCCCATTTATTATTGTATAGGAAAATAATTACAAATTTTATATCTTTAATTAAGTCTTTTAAATAAAATTTTTGACAATTGAGTATTTATAATTTTTCAAACTAGAAGTATAATTTATATTTCAAACAAATCTGTGCATTTGTAACTTATCCAATTATATAAATAATCTCTCTCAACTAACATATAATTAAAATTAATATCGTTGTAAATTAAAAAAATAAAATTTATATAAATAATCTCTCTTAACTAACAGATAATTAAAATTAATATTATTTTAAATTAAAAAAATAAAATTTAATTCGTTTGTTACTGCATGCTGTATACTAGACGACGTGAGCATTGGTAGGTTGAAGGTCACTATGATAAATGAGTAATTATTCTAAAATATAAATACGTGATATTTTATAATATTGTGATTGATAGAGAAAGTAAATAGGTAAGATATTGTGTTAGAGATTGAAAAATATGAAAAATATATTAAATAATAATTGATTAAGTAGTTGTTTGGAATGTGCTGTATAAGTATACTTTTTAATTTTTTTGTAATATATGTTTAAAATAATTTTTTGATATTTTACAAAAAAAATATGTAATAAAATATTGTAATAAAATCAAAATGATCATTTGACCCATATGACTTTTTAACTTTTAATTTTTTAATTTTTTGAATAGTTAAATTCAATCTAACTTTCCCCATAAACTACCTTTAAATAATATAAATTTTTTAATTTTTTTAATAATTTTTAAAATTTTTAACTTTTTAATTTATCCTACACAAAACTTGAAATATACAGATACCTAATATTCGAAAACATTCTATAATTTTCCATGATGAAGGGGGCGCTCAACCTTCTTCAATCTATCTCCATAAAAGCTTCATTTCATATTATATCACATCATAATGAAGTCTCTTTCTCTCTCCAACGGGTCTCTTCGTTCTTCTTTGTCTCTTTCTTGCACTTTCTTTTCCCATTTATGCTTCAAATCCCACATTCTCTCTTACCCAAACACCCCCAAAACCCCTCTTCCTCTTCGCAATTCAGAGTCCTCTGCTCCAATGGCTGAACCACAAAGTTCAGAAGCTGAAAGCATCACCAACTCATCAACTTCGTCATCTTCATCTGAGTCAACTCAGTTAGAACCCAAAACTCAGAAAAACCCAGAACCAAAACCAGAACAAGAAGAGAAGAAGAGACCCAAGAGAACAAGAGAGAGTAATAGTAGTAACAAAAACCCAGTTTACAGAGGAGTTCGAATGAGAAGTTGGGGCAAATGGGTCTCTGAGATTCGACAGCCTCGCAAGAAATCACGCATTTGGCTCGGCACTTACTCTACCCCTGAAATGGCCGCTCGAGCACACGATGTAGCCGCTCGAAGCATCAAAGGCAACTCAGCGATTCTCAATTTCCCTCAACTCGCTGACTCGCTCCCCCGCCCCGCCTCGCTCTCGCCTCGCGATGTTCAGTCTGCGGCGGCGAAAGCTGCTACTATGGAGCTTATTAGTCCATCATGTTCTTCATTGTCGTCGAATGTGTCGACGACAATGACGACGACTGAAGAACTGGATGAGATAATTGAGTTGCCGAGTTTGGAAGGGAGTTTTGACTCGGCCGGGTCGAGGGCCGAGTTACAACTTGTTGACTCAGTGGATGGGTGGTTGTTTTCGCCTTGGAGAGTGCATGATTTTGACTTTTTTGGGTTTTATTCTGATCAGACGGCGGTGGATGAGAGCATGATTCCAAGCAGCTTTGAGAGTTTGACATGGGATGCTTGATGCTTAATTGTTTTCTCTATTTTTAAAATTTTGTATGGTTTGCAATTATTGAATTATGTTTTAAAATTTAAGTACGTAATTTAATTATTTAGAATGTATTAAATTTATTTTAATGCATTCTCGATTATTGAATTATATCTTAAATTTTATATACATAATTTAATAATCATATTTGCCTTAAAATAAGATAATAGAAAAAATTAGGATTAGAATATGTCATTATATAGTTTTTGTCAATTGTAGTGCATTTGTAATACATGTATATATACAGAATAACAGTGTAAGATTTTAGCTTGAACTATTAATAGCTCTTTTTTGTATTTTGGATGAACTTGTATCTCATTCAATAGACTTATTAATATAGCAAGAGTCTGTTTATTTTTAATTTTTTGAATTTAGTTTTTTGATAATTGAATTTTTTGTTTTTCGTATTTTTTTGTTTTAGTGAATATTTTTAAAATTTTAAATAATTTTTTTACTTTTTTAGATGCACCTTATCTAGATGTATTTAAATAGTAAAATATTTGTAAAAAAAATATTTTAAAAAAATTGATAAATACACAAAAATATGAAAAATATACTAAATTTTTAATATTTTTTTGTATTTTTAGTATTTAGTGAATTTTTTAAACACAAACATAAAACCTTTTAAGTGTATTTATGTTAGATGTGTTTAAAAATAATTTTAAAAAAATTACTTAAAATATTAAAAAAAATTCATTAAAAACAAAAAAATACGAAAAATGAAAAAGTAGAATTTTTTAAAAAATGAATTCTTAAAACTGAAACCAAAAAAAGTGTATTATTTCGAGACTACTTGTAATTATTCGATTCTCTTCTTTTTTTAAAATTTTATTTTGGCTAATACTTTAAACCTCTTTATTTAATTATGTCATGCTTAATGATAAACAAATAAGATTTATATACAAAAAAAATTATACATAATGATAACTCGTTTATATTCAATGTTTTGAAATTAAAAATAAAATATTAACATTGATTCATAATTGTAAAAATATTTGTGAAAAAAATATTTTATGTTTAGTGTGATATTATAGTAAGCGTCACTCTTATATCATTTTAGATGAGTTTTACTAATCATTTTTCATTGATCAATTATGTTATAATGATTACATTTGCGTAACATATATTATTTATCATATCATATGCTACTCTAGTTTTAAATGGGCCCCAGTAAGTGTACGGTGGGATTGATCTCTCGAAATTAGTTGATATATGCATAAATTGATCCAAACACCTGATTATAAAAATAAAATAAAATAAATAAATAAATTGTATTAGCTGAATTAGTCTTACACGCATGTGTTAACACAACACATGATAAACAAAATGTGAACATTGCAAGTTTTGGAGTTTTTAATTCGCATTTTTTTATTTGCAGTAATTTCTTTAAATATTTTAATTATTTAAAAAAATTTCTTGATTATAAAAATAAAATAAAATAAATAAATAAATTGTATTAGCTGAATTAGTCTTACACGCATGTGTTAACACAACACATGATAAACAAAATGTGAACATTGCAAGTTTTGGAGTTTTTAATTCGCATTTTTTTATTTGCAGTAATTTTTTTAAATATTTTAATTATTTAAAAAATTTGGATCTACTTAATTTAGATATATTTAAAAAGTACAAAATTTATTAAATTTTTTTTAGCAAATACAATAAATCAGTATATTTTATATATTTATTGAATTCTTTTTAAATTTTCTTCATTTTAAGTACATTTGAATTAGGTGCATCTAAAAAAATAACAATTTGATTAAAATACAAAAAAAAAAAATCATTAAAACAAACAAATATGAAAATAAAAAAATTTAAAAATTATTTTTCAAAAATTCAAAACTAACCAGAGTAATTGTTGTTGTTGTTGTGTAACCATTGTGAGTTTAAAAAGCTGGCATTTCGTGTTGATGAAAATGTTCATTTCACAAAGTCAAATTAAAAAAACAGTGTCATCCTTCAATGCTTTAACCTTTCTACACTACACTTCAACAACATTTCCAAGTTTAGTATAGGACTAACCAAAACATTATAAAATTTAAGAGATATTTGATTGAGGTGTATAAATAATGTGATCTTCATCTTCCATGAGTTTTGTCACTTGATTAAAATATACACTATCGTATTAATTATTACATAATTATTTATAACAACCAATGTTTATTCTTAGTTTTTCTAATGAAAAGAGGTAAGATTTTTCAAAAAGCATAGAAAAAAATAAGAAGAACGAAAGGGAAACTTTTTTAATTTTGAACAATCCATTACTAATATTGTGTTTAGATTTTAGATTTGAAAAATAATTTGTAGAAAAAAAAAAAAGGAAATGTAAAACGAACCTTTTTTTATTTATTTATATTCATAAATTCATTTGCAAATCAATATCTAAACACAATCTACTAGTTGTTAGAGTAGAGAAATAGTTTCTCAAGAGGTGAGTAAATACAGAAATGCTATGAAAATGTAGACAAATAATTAAGAAAAATGTTGGTATATGGCATTATTTGGTTGTTAACAAAAATCCAATGAATAATTATTATTTTTAATTTGTGAAAATTGGTGATTAATTGTTAGCGGAACCCATTAATTAATAGCAGCTAATTAAACATTGAAGAGCTGACTTAATATTATAAGCGGGAAATGCTATACATTTCATACTCATGTGAGACATTTGGTTATTCATTTGATAGAAAATTTTGTATTCTTAACATTACTCTAAGGGTTTGGTTTCTTTCAAGTTGTCATCTCAACTTGACGAAAGCATTTAGACTTGTTAGACTGATTTTAAAACCGATTCTGATGATCTGAATCGTTTACTTTTTTGGATTCGTTGAGTAAAATATTTATACAATAATTGGACATTAATAACTATATGTTTGAATCATATTTGTTTTAAAAAAATGAACGACAAATATAATTTTAAAAATAACCATCCATTTTTTGTAATATAAATTACAAACGTCAGATCATCTTTAGTTTTTTTGCATGAATATTCAACTCAACAAATTTTAAAATCTGAACGGTCCCAATTATGTTGAGATGTGAATATGAGAAAAGCTTAATGCATATTATAATTTCAAGAGCAATGATACAGAATTCTAATTTTTGAGCTCTAAGAATGTGGCAGGAAAAAAAAATTAAAACACAGATACACACATCACATCACAGGTAGGACTCATATGTTTAGAGCTCTACAATTAAAGCTCCAAATCATTTTTGTAATTTCAATTAACTTATTTTTTTTATTTTTATTTTTGGGTGTGTTTGTTGTTGATTTGAACATTTCGTTGTACTTTCCCTAATGTGTTACTGTGATGTAGCCGTTGATGATGTTGGATCCAACTTAAAAAGTTAAGCCTGCAAAAAAAACAAAAAAAAAACAAAAAAACAAAAAGAAGAGGAAAACAATGCCGTTGAGAGCATGACATGTTTTCAAGTTTCAAACACCACATATTCTCTAAAGTGCGCCACTGAAAATACATATGGTACGCTTTCCCTTTTCTTTTTGAGTGTCTGAAAGTCAAGAAATTATGAAAATGACATTAATATGTTATGATTTAATTACAAAAAAAAATGTTATGATTAATTAATTAGTATCAAGTCGCATAGCCTTTTCAATAGTTGCTTTTGCTATGACCCCATGCACCTAATATCTTTGAACAATGGTGCAAAGCAAAGTTATGTGGGTTTTGGTGTAGTTTATAAAGTCATTTATATGTATTAAGGGGTTGTTTGGGGTGTTCTAAATAAGTGTATTTTTTTGTCTCTTTAGACTAAAAAATTAAGGTTGAAAATATGGATGTTTGGGTTAACTTTTTGACTTTTTATGAAAAAATATGTAATAAAAAATTGTAAAAATTGATTTGTAGGGAAAAATTTCGCCTGCCTAATTGGAAGTTGTGCAGCCGTAATTGTTGACTTTTGGTGAATAGTGTTAACTTTTTAACTTTTTGAATAACTTTTTAGCTTTTTGACTTTTTTACAAGTTTCCAAACTTGGCCTAAATTTATGCCAAAGTGTTCCGTATAGTTTTTGCTTATGTATGTGGTAGAAATAGTTTAAATTTTTTTTTTACAAAAAAAATTAATTATTAAGAAAAATGAGAAGGGGTGCTTTAAGTTTTTATTATTGATTATCAATTTTTAACTTTTGGTACTGATGTAAGAGCATCTCCAACGGTAATAGGCATTTTACCTATCTAAATATTACTATAAAGTAGATATTTTATTTTGCCTATCAACTATTTCATATTTCTATTCCAACCATGCTCTTTATTTTAGCTATTCATCTAAATACTATTAATTTTATAAAATGCCACATCAACAACAAAGATGGAGGGAAATGATCCTAATGATTAAATATATTTTGCTTAGTCTTGAAGGCTAGCTACATGTAGCTAGTGAATGTGAGTTGAGCTAAAATGCCTAATCATATGCCTAGTGCATTGGAGTTGAAAAAAATAAGTTATACTAGGCATTTTGACTAACAAACATGATATGCCTAGTGGGTTGGAGATGCTCTAAAACAAGTAATTATAGAATTCTTAAAACAATTAGATAGGCAAAAGATAAAGAAGTCAAATTGAGGGCAAAAATATAACTTTTGTGACAAGCACAGAATCTTTTCAAATTTGATAGTGTTTGATTGGAAATAACATTTTAAATCACAGACATTGCCAATGCCAAATTCTTTCATTTAAGCCATTAAATCAATGATTTTTCCATTTTAGGAAAGTTTTGTTTAAGAAATAATTTTATTTTGAAATTTTGTTTTTAGTACCCTCTGTTTTGGTCTGCTTCTAATGTTTTCTAGTGTTCAAATTTTGAATTAATTTAAATTTACCATTTTTGATCATTTTTGTTTCTGGCAATGAATTAATCTAATTAATTGTTTCCTTATTGAGTTAGAATTTCGTATATTACAAATAGAGACGCATGTCTTAGGGAAAAATAACTTCTGATCAATATTATTCTATTTCTCTTTGAGAATTTGTTTCTTCATTGTTTTTTCATCTTCATCTGTGTAAGATATATTGATAGAGATAAATTGTATGTATTATTGATTGATGTTGATTACAAGATTGTTCTGTATATTGATTTGTATGTTACAAGCTATTATATAGGAGAGGTGTGAGGTAAGTGAGTGGTGGTAGTGGATGGTAGTGGAGGTGGTGGGTGGTAGTGGAGATGGTAAGTGTGTTAGGTTTAGTGGGGTGGATGTAGTGGGTTAGGTTAGTGGGTTAGGTTTAGTGTACATTAACAATCTGCTAAAACAATATCTGACGTTGTATGATAATCTTAGTTTTGCGCC